GGTTGTCAGAGACCCTGAAAGACACTTGGAAACATGTTTAGCAAATTTTGCATATATATACATTTAGCTTCATTTAAATAACACCACCAATTAAGTGCACTTATTTCCCCTCGAAGACAAAATCATTATTTCAATCTTTTGATTAGACTAAAATTGAGTTAGACGGTCGAATTTTGTTGCACCGTGTCTTGGAACACGAATTATTACTAATATTTTTTAAAGGAAAATGGGAATGGAATTCAACGTTAAGAAACATCACTATAGTAATGAAACAACTTTGTATTTGAGCTTTAATATGTCAAAAACTATCAACCTTGTGTGCAATTTAGTGTATAATCAAATCGTGAATTAAATTTATTTTTTTAGCAAAAAAATTGTCTCTCGTATGAGTTGTTTGACAATAAATTTAAAATTTCTTATAGCCATGAATCTATTTGAGTTGTGTGAGGTCACTTATTTCTTAAATTCGTACGGTTTGAACGAACTAAAATCAAGAAGAGTTCGGACTAATCACATCATTTAATCTTTATTCTCGGACACCCTTTTGATGCATAAATAACTTATTTTCTTCAATATATTGTTTCTTAAATTTTGATGTAAGGACTAGACCACCCTCTTGGTGCATACATATTGGTTTTTTGGGTAAATCTGCATAGATTTTGTTTAAAATTGTCCCATGAACTTTATATTATCCTAATTTATCCCTCGAACTATGAAATTTATTTCAATTGCCTCTTTCGTTAAAATTAACCATTACATTAGACAAACTAACTGTTAATCTTAATGGAAATTATCTCATTTATCGATTAATCTTAATGAAAGGGGTAGATTCACGTAAATTACATAGTTCAAGGGATAAATTAAGATAATTGAAAGTTCAGGGTCAATTTAAAACAAAAGTCATAGTTCATGGGATATTTATGAGATTTTCCCTTTTTTTTTTAGTGGGGTTATGCTTACTCCTTAATCTGCTTTCTCATCTCATTTAATTATTTTGTTTCAAACTACTGATTTCACCTCATATCTATCCATTCCATTTGTTATTAAATTCACCTGCGTATGCAATATGTGTAAGTTACATGGTTCTTTTTAGTTTAAAATAAAAAAATCACTAGTGATAAATATGCAATATGTAACTTACACAAAGATGAAAATAATTTTTTTTTTCTTTTTACAAGTCCACCCTAGTCGTATCTAAGGGCTGTGGACCCTTCATTAATGGTGGTGGACCCCTTATAGGACCACCACTTCCTCTTGTCCGCCACCCAGTTTGACCAGTTGGTCTCTACTCAAAAATGCAAAGTCATTGCCACTTCTTTTCCTTTTTCTTTTGGCATGTTGAATTTCTGGTCATTCGTGTTATTGAAAGCTATAACATTTTTTTAAGACTAAGTTATAATTTTTTGAGCGTGTCTGAGTTACAACTCAAAAAATTATAATTAATCATAAGTTTTTTTATCGATCATGAATTTTTTTTTTAAAATGTCTAGTTAAACCATTTAAAAAAGAAGCTATAATTGATTGAAAGTATTAATGATCGATTCCAATGTTCACGAATTGTAAATTTATAATACCACTCCAAATATGTAAGAATTGGTGACGAGACATCTAAGAGTTAAAGTTCAAGTAAAATGGTACTCCAAGCAACCAAGAACTAGTTATAAGGATTTATGACCAAGAATCTTAATCTAACTCTACACTATACTTCTAGAACTTGGTGACGATGTTAATTGAGACACATCTCCCTATTAATATAAATAAAGGCTGTTATAAATAAAGACCTTCTGGAACCAAATAATTCATTCAATCCTAATTTGTTGACTCCGTACTATTCTTCGACTTGTAATTTGACTTGAGCATCGGAGTCCTTTTAATCGTCTCTGGTCATCAGTTCACTTACGTGTTCTCTTGTCTTGTAAGTTACGTAAGACTTCTTCACCGTTCGAATGAGGTAGAGACTCACGGTGCGAAATTATTCTCACACAAAAGTAAAATTAAAATTTTTTAAAAATTTAAGTTACAATTCAAAAAGTCAAAATTAGTTATAAAATGATATGGAGTTTCTTGAAAATATATTTTTTAAAGGTTTAGTTTATACCATTTAAAGGTAAAATTATAACTGATTAAAGTTATGTACAATCAATTTTAACATTTCATGATCGATGTCACATAATTATAATTTTACTTTTAAAAAGTATAACTTCACTCTCCATCATAGTAATTTCTAGCTTGATATCGAAAAGATTTTTGGGTACGATATTCTTTTTCTTTATTTTAAGTGGCCGTTTGTTTTGAGTATTAGAGTGGTATAAGGAGATGGTAATAGGAAAATAATACGTGGGACCCATCTTATACATTGTTTATTTGGTATTTTATAGTCAGTACTATTTTTCGGGTCGTAATATCGACCCGCTATGAACAATAGCCATAATGCGTTGTAAAAGGTCTAAATGAATTCCACATAGGGGGTGGTATTATATTCTTGGTATAAGTATTACAAACTAAAAAAGACCGAAATGCTCTCCGGTATAATTCCCATATAAAAGCCTAGCCGCAATTTTTGACTTTTTAAAGGTTAAAATTGTCTTTTACATTGATTAGCAACAATTGTTGACTTTTTTAAATAGGTATTACACAAATAATATTTGTGATAAACAAACAAGGAGAAGGAGGAGATTATAGTTTAACACCGGGTATAATATATTATTGAATTGGAGTGGAATGAATATAAAATTTTATACTTGAAACAAACTAGGCCCGAGGGACTTGACTACGGTATTAAAAAAAAAAATTATTATTGTACCTCCAAATTTTATTACTTGAATAGGAGTTTTATAATTTTTGTGGGTTATTTTATAACAAAAACAAATTATCACTTTTTTGTGATTGATTTACCATTTTTGTTGGTATTTTTACCATTGTTATAGTAATTATTCTTATTATTTTTCTTTGATAAAAATATTATCACTTTTTGGGGTGTTTTATCACTATTTTGATAATTATTTTTATAACTTTTATTTGGTAAGACTATGCTCACACACCCAAACGCAAACACATAAATGACAAACGACAAAGATGGACAGTTGTCTCTCAAAGTACATAATTTGATACAATTAAAAGGTCGTGGACCAAATTGACACAAAGTACATAATTTGTGAAACAAAAATATATGTTGCCCAAATTCCTAATACTATTCCCTCGACTAACTGAATTGATTTGATATAACATTGTCTCAAAATAGAACATCTGCTATGTTTTGCATGGGAGGGAAACGTTCATGTTTCCTTAATTTTTGAAGCAAAATAAAATAGAATCACATAGTTTGAGGGAGAGTGAAATAACTTTCCATTTAATTTGTAAAGGATATTTGAAATACCAATTCTATTCCTAAAAAATAAGGAAATGAAAAAGTCAAACAAAAAAATTACGTCTGTTCAGCCCAACAATAATAGACCGCACACCTCCACCTCCACCTCCACCTCCACCTCCACCCAACACCAACATGAATTAAAAGGGGATATTTATGGAAATTAAAACTTGAAAGAGTGAATGACAAACTACTCAAAGTTGAAGAGAATATTTTGTAATTAACCCTCTAATCAAATCAACGTGAATTTTTAGCAAAAAATTTAGAAAATTAAATCTTAGAATTTGATTATCAATCCTTTAATGTCAAGAATAACCCCTAAATCGGTACAATTAGGTATATTATCAAATGCTCTCTTTTTTTTTTCCATGGAATAAATCTTAGAAGCTTAAAAAGAGAAGAGATGGGGATGTTATTGGGGATTAAAATTTGCTATTCTCGTTACTCGTACTAGTTGTTTGGCAATAAATTTAAAATTTCTTCTAGCCATGAACCTATTTGAGCTGAGCAGAGTCATTCATTTCTTAAATTCGTATGATTTAATAAACGAGTTTGAAATCCGATTAATTTGACATTTTTTTCAATTTGAATAGGTTTGAATGAACTAAAACCAAGAAGAGTTCGGATTAATCAAATCATTTAATAGCTTTATTCTAGGACAACCTTTTGATGCATAAATAACTTATTTTCTTCAAGATATATTGTTTCTTAAATTTAGAGTAGGGACAGATAAATCTCCGTAGTCATGTACCGTGCTTGGACGCCCCCTTGGTGCATACTATTGTTATTTTTTTTTGGGTAAATTTACCATCGCTTTTGTTTAAAATTGCCCCATGAACTTTATATTATCCTAATTTATCCCATGCACTATGTAATTTATTTCAATTGTCTATTTTGTTAAGATTAATCATTAAATTAAATAGACTGACGGTTAAACTTAACAAATTATATTTCATTTAACCGTTAATCTTAACAAAATTTATATCATTTATCGATTAATCTTAACGAAAAGGGTTGATTTGTGAGATTTACCCCTATTTTTTGGCAAAATGCCCATCAATGGTTCTTTTTGAAAAAACCAATAGTGATAAACATGTAACTTGCACAAAGATGAAAATAATTTTTTTTTCTTTTTACAAGGCCACCCTAGGTCATATCCAAGGGCTGTGATCCTGTCATTCATGGTGGTGGACGTCGTAGGATCACCACTTCCTCTTGTCTGTCACCCAGTTTGGCCATTTGGTCTCTACACACAAAAAAAAAAAAAAATACCATTTGATACACAAAACAGCCTCCTACAAATCCTACATGAAATATTCAATTGATGCAGGCGCGCCTAAATCCACCGTACCTTGCGGGCCGTCTCAAGCAGCGTGTTTGGTCACTCAACGAGCTCATTCGAAGTTCACCAAAGAAGAGATCTGTTCTCATTTTTTATATTGTGCAGAATCTTACACGCACACTATTCTATGTATATGTCCCTCTCAAACATATGAAAAACCAGTGACCCAACTAAGTCCTTGCACAAACCACTTAACAACTCCTTCCTTCTTTCATCACTTTGACTTGAGGCCTTAACCACCTTTGAGGTACAAGAAACCCATCCTTCCCAGATTTGCTCAGCTTGATACCGATGCCTATCATTGAAGTTTTTCTGGGTGCGTTCTTAAGTGTGCTGTTTGACAGATTGGCCTCTTGCGAGCTGTTGAAATTTGCTCGCAGCGAGGGGATTTTTACTCAGTTGACGAAATTGCACAAACTGCTATCGACAATTAGAGCGGTGCTCAACGATGCCGAGGCTAAGCAAATAAGGGACGAAACTGTGAAACTGTGGTTGGCGGAACTGAGGGATCTGGCTTACGATGTGGATGATCTGGTGGACGAGATTGAGACTGAAGCTTTGGCACATGAAGTGAATTCGGAGCCTGAGGCTTCCACAAGCAAGGTTCGAAGCTTCCTCCCTACTTGTTGTAGTAATTTCCAAAGATCTGTTGGGCTCAAAATCAAATTGGGCCCCAAGATTGAGGAAATCACTGCTAGATTAGAAGATATTGCAAAACAAAGGGATGCCCTGGGTTTGAAAGTCAATCCTGAAGTAAGGTCAAACACAGAAACAGAGAGAACGACTACTTCCTTGGTGGTCGAGTCCCACGTTTACGGTCGGGAAAAGGATAAACAAGAAATACTTGAATTGTTGCTCAACAATGAATCAAGTAATGATGAACCATCCGTCATTTCAATAGTTGGTATGGGGGGTCTCGGCAAGACCACTCTTGCTCAACTAGTGTACAACAATGACAAAGTCAAGGATTTATTCGACTTGAGAGGATGGGTGTGTGTTTCTGAGGAGTTTGATGAGCTCATGATAACAAACAAAATTTATGAATCAGTGTCCAATGAGACTCGTGACTTCAAGAACTTGGATACGGCGCAAGTAAATCTTAAAGGCAAACTTTCTGGAAAAAAATTTCTTCTTGTTTTAGACGATGTTTGGAATGAGAAGGGGACCAAATGGGATCTCCTCCGTGCTCCTTTTCAAGGTGGGGTACCTGGAAGTAAAATTATTGTTACAACTCGGAATGAAGGCGTAGCATCAACCATGCATTCTGTTCTAGCATACCGTCTAAAAGCGTTGGTCGATGATGATTGTTTATCTCTCTTTGCCCAACATGCGCTGGGTACAACGAATTTTGGTGCCCATCCAAATTTGGAAGAAATTGGTATGGCTATCATGAGAAAGTGTGGAGGCTCACCTTTGGCAGTGAAGACACTAGGTGGCGTCCTGCGCAATAGACGTAGCCCAAGAGAGTGGAAAGACGTACTCGATAGTGAAATCTGGGATTTACCGGAGGATAAGAGCAGCATTCTTCCAACTCTGAGATTAAGTTATCATCACTTACCTTCTCAATTAAAGCAAATGTTTGCATACTGCGCCATATTTCCAAAGGACTACGAGTTTGACAAGGAGGAATTAGTATTGTTATGGATGGCTGAAGGATTTCTGCAACAATCACAAGGAGTGAGGAAACTCATTCAAGAGTTAGGCGACGACTGTTTCAATGAGTTGTTATCAAGGTCATTCTTCCAACCTTCAAGTAGCACGAAATCAAAATTCACGATGCATGACCTTTTGAATGATCTAGCTCAACATGTTGCTGGAGAAATATGCTTTAGGATGGAAGATAATACGGAGTGCATTGAACGGTGTAGGATTTCTCCGAAGGCTCGCCACTCGGCATTCATGCGCCATGAGTGTGAAATGTATAAAAGATTCAAGGCATTTGATCATGAACTTCTGTCCCTGCGGACATTCTTAGCACTGCCAGTTTACAGGTTACGCTGGTGCTGCTTTTTAAGTGATAGCATTTTAGTCAACATCCTGCCAAAACTGTTGTGCTTAAGAGTCTTATCTATGAGTGGGTATAATATAAGAGAGTTACCCAACTCGATTGGAGATTTGAAACATCTTCGGTACTTGAATTTATCAGGGACATCAATTAAATGGTTGCCTGAATCAGTGAATGGTCTCTACAATTTGCAGACATTGTTGTTGCGTGGTTGTCGGGAGCTTTGTAAGCTGCCCGCAGACATTGGAAATTTAGTTAACCTCTGTCATCTTGACAATGCTAATACTCAAAAATTACAAGAGATGCCCCCCGAGATTAGTAAGCTGAAAAGTTTGCAAACTTTGCCAAAGTTTGTTGTGTGTAAAAGTGGTGGATTGGGACTTAACCATTTGAACAACCTAGCACTTTTACGGGGGATGCTTTCCATTGTAGGATTGCAAAACGTTAAGGATGTGCGGGATGCAGAGGATGCCAATATAAATCGTAAGCGGGATCTTGATGAGTTAGAATTGCTATGGAGTAGTGAGGATGAAGATTCTCAAAATGAAGAGCTCCAAGCCAACGTACTCAACATGCTACGGCCGCATAAAGGATTGAAACATCTCAAAATTGAGTTTTACAGGGGCGTAACATTCCCCAGTTGGATTGGGGATCTGTCGTTCTCAAAAACAACGCAGATTAGTCTAAAAGGATGTACAAAATGTGAGTCTTTGCCACCACTGGGTCAGCTACCTCTGTTGAAAGAACTACACATTCAAGG